CCACTGCTCAGTCCGATCAGCGATCCGATTAGTTATCGTAAACACCCAGGTTTCTCTCTGATGCAGTTTTCTCTCTATTATACTGTGCCTCCTGAATTCCCTATACTGCGTACGCAGACGCACTCTGATTGCTCCTGGGAGTCGATTGTGCATCTTGAAATGAGGTGAAAATTACAAAAGTGAGGAAATTCACTAGCGTATCTACGATTTCATTTGTGGAAATCTAGTAAAATCTGTTCACTTTTATAATTTTCACCTCGTTTCAAGTACACAATCGACTCCCTGGAGTATATATAACCTAATTGCACCTAATTGTAAATTGACGTGCGAATGAGAAAATCGCAGCAGATCGCAACTCGCAACGATAACGCGTCGAAGAGAGATAAGCAAAGGTAAATTTTGCTGTCGACGTATTATCTCGATAATATAAGATTTCGATCGTCTGCGAGAAATATGCGTCGGATCTGCATACTGTTTTGAAGCACATTATTTTGTCTTTTCTTGTGCTCTTACAAAACTTTTTATCGGCAATACAAAGTACAGAGCAACGTGTTGCTCATCGTTCGCAGTGTCATTCCAGACGTTTCAAAACGCAATGTTACATGTGACCTCCTAAAAAGGCGAAATATGGACTGGGAAGGCAGGACATTGTAAGGATTCCGTACAGATTTCGACGCGAGAGCGAGTGAAGAGGAGAACGTGTGCCAATAATACAAGACAACGCGACGTGTAACGTAGGAAAAGATGTTTCTACAACAGTGGATGCATATACGACACAACATCGACATACCATGGAAGACCTTTGTCAGGAAGTCACCTAGTATACAGGACAAATCTCCAGAGAGGTGCATTCATCAGTTGGCTTTCCAGGGAAACGAAGCAAAGGCTGCCTACGAAGAAATTGTTCACCAAATTAGTAATAGCAATACTCCACCGGCAAGACTGAGGCATTTAAGATCAAGAATCACTGGTAGCCAAGGTAACTCGGGCACGAATTCTGCTTCTATTGTACAATCAAAGATGATTACACTTTCTGACGACATTCTGGCAAAAGTCACGGTCAACACGTTATTAAAAGCAGTGGAGCAAAAGGACTTGAAATTCTTGCAAAAACATATGACGACAGAAAATGTGAATGTGTCAGATGACTTTGGTTGGACTCCATTAATGTCCGCCGCTTATTGCGGTCATTTGGAGATTGTGCAATTCTTGTTGAATCTCGGGGCTAACAAAAGAACTAGGGATAAATCTGGTCTCACCGCAGCCCAGTTAGCTTTAAAAAGAAATTATTTGAGTATAGTCGCCTTGCTGAAGAAGAAGTCTGACACGATAAGCGGTATCGATCAGTTGTCCGCAAATATAAATCCAAATGTAAATAATATAAATGCTTTATCAGCGAGATCAATGCCTATAGAATCTTCGATGGAGCACAATAAAGACATTGTTATAGAAGAGAAGACACGACTCAAGCAGAATGCGGCGTTTTACTGTGAAATCTGTAAGACAACTTTTCAAGAAACGACGCTGCAAAAACACGAAAGTTCTACCCTACACATCTTCAACACAAAGCCGAAACTGAAAAACGCAATGTATGGAATATCGAGACAAAATAAAGGATACAGAATGCTTTTGAATACAGGATGGGATGAAGAGGCTGGTCTCGGTCCTTCTGGGAAAGGAATAAAATATCCAATCAAAACGTGTTTGAAAATGGATCGCAAAGGATTGGGACAGTTGCCTGAAAATGAATATAAGATTACTCATTTTAAATCGGGCGATACAACTGCCGTTAACAACTCTAAAGTACCTAAGCAGAAACCTTTGAAAAAAAGAGACAGGGAAAGGTTACTTCACAGAGAGGCCAGGAAAGAAAGAGCACTGCGTATAGCGTTATCCTAAAATAAATATAAAATAATTCTAGAAATTTAAATGTGATATTTGTTTCAAAATTGAACGCAATAAAAATAACTTTTACTGTTTTTATATACTTACGCTTGTAAGTTTATACTCCATCTTTCTTTATTATAAAACAACTTATATATTAATACCGTTTTCTATACTTTTTAATAATGTTACTAATGCAATTTTTTATCTCTAATTATGTTAATAAAATTCTGAAAAATATACACAGTTTATTTCACTAAAATATAACAGAAAAATGCGAGCCTTTTGTGAACCATATATAAGGTATACGTATAAATAAGAAATAATACATACATTTTTACTTTGTTACAGATGGCAAATGAGCATCAAAAGTTATTGCAACATTTAGAAACAGTTGAAAATAAAGCTAGCGAAATTCTCACTGATCGTGAGGAAATAATCGCTCTAGATAAGAGAAGAAACTATAATCGTGTTGGAATGAGAACACTTCAAAAACAGGGGCATCAAAAAATATGGATAACAGTGGGACCGTTGCTCTTAAAGATGCCATCTAAAGCAGCTGAAGAACTGCTTGAAAAAGGTAATTTCAAACAAGAGCAGGACGAGATATTCATAAAGTATTCTATAATTTTTGTGTTCTATATTACGGTTGTATTATGTTACAGATCAGAGAGAATGTGATACTGCCATTAATAAGCTAAGGAGCGACTTAAGGATAAAAGTAAATGAATTACGTGATTTAGAGTTGACTCCACCAGTACCTGGATTAATGTTAAAACCTATGTCTCACAAAGAGATGGGTGCAATCGGACAAATTTTAGGTCGAACTGTCTAATATTTAATAAAATTTCTTTATTCAGAAGTATAAGTAGAATGAGAATAAATACATGAACTTAAAATATTTAAATATTTAAGTTTAATTACTTAGTTAAGTTTAATTCTAAACTTTTGAATATAGTGCAAAATAATTACCATTATATGTAAAAAAATTATTATTTTATTTATTATCCTATATAAATTTATTTTCAAACTAATAAGTTATTTGTCATTTCAGAAAATGAGTAAAATAATTTGGTTTTTTTTTCAAGATTTTCAATTTTATGATTCACTTATTATTAGATCAACATATATTATATTAATCTACGTTGATGTGATAATATTACTTAATATTAATTAATTAATATTAATATTAATAAATGTCACAGTTATAAACAAAAAATTAAAAAACTTAAAAAAAGTCATAATATATCAAATACGTTGTGCGTTAATGTCTAACGCATTGTCTAACATTTCTTTTACACTTGTATATGTGTGATATCTGTTTCTATATGAAAAATATCTAAAATTCTATGTTCACTGGGCACGCCTGAGTTCCTCTGCTTTATCAACAAACCACGACTTTAAGAAGACATACATTTCGAATTGTTATCGGGAGTTTTTTCATCGTAAATTATAAAATCCTTGGATGGCTTCCAATGAAATTTTATACGTGCATTTATTTATGATCCTTAGTGACAATACTTTTGACTTTGTCTAGGAAAATTTTCAAGAACCCTTTGCACTTTTTCGTGTCACAGTAAAACTGCAGTAGGTAATTTCATATTAATAGTATATGCTTAAACTTCGTTATACAATTTTTTTTACATTTTAATTATTTAATACCTTTGAAAGCTTAAGCAGATCATCCATGGAATATTCCTTAAAGCCCGGTGTCCACGATGCAAGAACTGTGTCCAAGTTTCGGTTTAAGCCAATAAAACTACTACTTTTCTGTAAGAGCTGCAAGTTGATTGGCTTAAATCGAAACTTGGACACAGTTCTTGCATCGTGGACACCGGGCTTTATCACTTTCACTATGTTAGTTGCATCCCTAAATCTAACTACAATTCTATTTGTATCCACCAAGTAATTCGTACTCCAGCACTTTGATACAATGCTAGGGGTGCTATGCATGTTTCTACTACGCATGCGAAACGTTTTCAATCCGATCCATTCAAAAGTTTTGCCAATAAGCGTATCCGTTATAGTCTGTTGCGAAGAAATGGCATTCATTCTTGCATCGTATAGTAACGAGTGATTGCCAAAGTTTGCTTTGAACATACAGTGAAACTCTTCGCACTTATTAAGGGGTACTGATGGATCTGGTTTATGTGACAGATGATCTAAAAAACGTGTGTATAATTTAATTAGATTATATAAACAACGAGTAATAACTGCATTTTGTTTGCTATACATATGTCTGAAGTAAAAGCGATACATGATCAAATTCGTATATACGTATTTTAATATGAAATACCTGCTACTATGTATTGCTGAAATTTATTTGTTCCTGCAGGAATTTGTTTGTCTGACACTGTTGCATTGTCTTGACCACAATCTCTTTCATCTGAATGAAATTCGCCACGGTATTTACTGGCACAAATAATCCATTCGTCACTTTTTCCATATGGGCTACATAATATATTTTTCTTAGTGTCCCACGAGAATCTAATTAATAATATCTTTATATCTCTGATTATATAAAATGATTATATTATTTATAACAATTAAAATATACACTATTTTTTTAGAATTTTGTAGAATATAATATTCATAATAATAATCGTGAATATATAGGTATATAACGATAGCGCACAGAGAGCAACAAGGTGTTCGCGTTAAATTATTTTTATTTTTAATTTTTAATAGATATTTTCCAACCATAATAACGCGCCGACTAATTGTCAGACTTGCAACACAGCTGTGATTGGAGTATATATATATAAAATCGCCTCCCTCCCTCTAATTAAATCATATATTAATATTAATAATAATACAAGATTTTATATATTTAAATAATAATAGTCGTGCAAGTTTTAAATGATAATGAGTTATCAATACGTACCAACGTTCTTCCTGTAATAATGGCCTTTCAATTCGATGAACATTATCACAAATCCATCTTAATATATTTTCCAATCTGATATGCAAAGTAGGCTTGTGATGGTCAGACGTACAATTTATATTGAGATCGAAATTTACATTGTCAAGATTCGAAGGAGGAATATAATATTTTAATTGTGATAAATCAGTACGATATTGCAATCACCATCGATATTAAAATATCCGTTAAATAAACTGGAGCCATACCCGGATTAAACCATCATAATCTAAACCACATTGTGACTATTTTATAGGTTCCACGATAACACAAAACTTATTATCTCGTTTTAGAATCTAGAAGAAGTGAATATTCGATTTTACTGTGACGACGCTGTGTGTCGATTTCCGCTGATGAAGCAGAGTTACTGGAAATTAGACATCAAGGGGAAATTTGAAACGGACAATACCAATATGTTTGTATACAATACAACTTTTTGTAGATATATGGAAATGGTACGTACACTGAGAAAAAAAATATTTTAATCCAAAAAAATATTTATTAGGTGGCTCCTAATAGCATATTCACTTACTGCAATTAAATAAAAATATCTAATTCTAAATAAATATGTGTAAAAAATAAGTAAATATGCTATTAGAAGCCACCTAATTTTTTTGGATTAAAATATTTTTTTTCTCAGTGTACCTATACGATATATGTAGATAATCAATAGGGACATTGGAAGCTATGTATATATAGATTAAACGTATTAGCGCAAAGATATATTGTATACATCTTAACCGAATATGCAAGTACATATTCTTATAGTTATTAAGTAATAACTAAGCACTCGCTAAAATGTTCCATATATCGTTTATATACATATGCTCTACATTTAACTCTTTTAAATTTATGACAGTCCTTTTATATATTTATAATATATTATATATTAAGCTGTGCGAAGAAGTGTTTGATTCCAAACTGGGAATATAAAATCGGTTCAGAAAGATAAATAATTTAATAATGTATTTATTTATCCGTCTATATATTATATCTATGACTTTATATACACATGAGATATATTTAATTTTAAAATACTTTCCCGTCAACACTTAATCGATTTTTTATATCGATCTTAGCGATTTTGAGCGATTGCAACAATGATTTTTAACTGGAAAATATATCTAATTTTATTAATACATGTGGGGTGAGGTGACATATTTATAGAGATTTATTAAAAATTTTTCCTTTTTAAATGAAATAACTATACGTCTCCCAACGGAAAACTGTTAGATCGATTTCTAAAACTAAATTTGATCAGATTCGAGGTTGTTGAACAATAATTTTGTTACCTAGCTTTACATTCAATGTACTACAATTTACTTTAAAATTACTATTAATATTTGGATGAATTTGTTGCGTAATAAATTTTAACTGTATATTAATATTTGGATGAATTTGTTGCGTAATAAATTTTAACTGTATAGCGATGATACCAAAGTGTTTATTTTCGTTATTATATGTTATTCAAAATTTATTAAATTTATTTTATTGATGTATTCTAATTTCCGTTTGAAGATCATCAGCTCAGGGTGACTTAAAATAAATTCAATGATAACTATAACATTAATCGATAATTAAGTTATTAAGTAATAGCTGTATTATTTTGTCGATCTAAATAGAACTGTTAATTCTACATATAATTAAAGAAAAAGATTAAATTGGGAACAAGAGATTAGTTAAGAAATAAAGATAGTAAAATTCTCACTGATCGCAAGGAAATAATATCGCTCTAGATAAGGGAAGAACGATGATCGTGTTGGAATGAAAAATATGGATAACAGTGGGATCGCCGGCTATAAATATGCCATCTTAAAGCAGCTGAAGAACTGCTTGAAAAAGGTAATTTTAA